ACACCATCCACTTACATCCCCTCCCTCCTCCTCTCCTTCCCTCCCTCCTCCTCTGACGTGAGTTCTACCCATCCCTGACATCTCTCCTCCTATCTGAGGTAATCACCACACTCATCCGTCACACAGCGCCCCTCCCTACTTCCCTCCCTCCTCATCCCCCCATCAGATCCGTCTCACACCTTTCCTGCTGCTCTGCTCAGTGGGACGACTGTACTGACGCACATCAGGCTAGACCAGAGACACGCCGTACCGCAATTTAGCTGTAGGTCATTTGCATATATATATATAGATACATTTGAAGTCGGAAGTTTACATACACCTTAGCCAAAATACATTTAAATTCAGTTTTTCACAATTCCTGACATTTAATCCTAGTAAAAATTCCCTGTCTTAGGTCAGTTAGGATCACCACTTTATTTTAAGAAAGTGAAATGTCAGAATAATAGTAGAGAGAATTATTTATTTCAGCTTTTATTTCTTTCATCACATTCCCAGTGGGTCAGAAGTTTACATACACTCAATTAGTATTTGGTAGCATTGCCTTTAAAATTGTTTAACTTGGGTCAAACGTTTTGGGTAGCCTTCCCACAATGAATTGGGTGGATTTTGCCCCATTCCTCCTGACAGAGCTGGTGTAACTGAGTCAGGTTTGTAGGCCTCCTTGCTCGCACACGCTTTTTCAGTTCTGCCCACACACTTTCGATAGGATTGAGGTCAGGGCTTTGTGATGGCCACTCCAATACCTTGACTTTGTTGTCCTTAAGCCATTTTGCCACAACTTTGGAAGTATGCTTGGGGTCATTGTCCATTTGGAAGACCCATTTGCGACCAAGCTTTAACTTCCTGACTGATGTCTTGAGATGTTGCTTCAATATATCCACATAATTTTCCTTCGTCATGATGCCATCTACTTTGTGAAGTGCAACAGTCCCTCCTGCAGCAAAGCACCCCCACAGCATGATGCTGCCACCCCCATGCTTCACGGTTGGGATGGTGTTCTTCGGCTTGCAAGCCACCCCCCTTTTTCCTCCAAACATAACGATGGTCATTATGGCCAAACAGTTCTATTTTTGTTTCATCAGACCAGAGGACATTTCTCCAAAAAGTACGATCTTTGTCCCCATGTGCAGTTGCAGACCGTAGTCTGGCTTTTTTATGGCGGTTTTGGAGCAGTGGCTTCTTCCTTGCTGAGCGGCCTTTCAGGTTATGTCGATATAGGACTCGTTTTACTGTAGATACTTTTGTACCTGTTTCCTCCAGCATCTTCACAAGGTCCTTTGCTGTTGTTCTGGGATTGATTTGCACTTTTCGCACCAATGTACGTTCATCTCTAGGAGACAGAACGTGTCTCCTTCCTGAGCGGTATGACGGCTGCGTGGTCCCATGGTGTTTATACTTGCGTACTATTGTTTGTACAGATGAACGTGGGAACTTCAGGCGTTTGGAAATTGCTCCCAAGGATGAACCAGACTTGTGGAGGTCTACAATTTCTTTTATGAGGTCTTGGCTGATTTCTTTTCATTTTCCCATGATGTCAAGCAAAGAGGCACTGAGTTTGAAGGTAGGCCTTGAAATACATCCACGGGTATTTACATTACATTTTACATTTTAGTCATTTAGCAGACGCTCTTATCCAGAGCGACTTACAGGAGCAATTAGGGTTAAGTGCCTTGCTCAAGGGCACATTTACGTCATTTAGCAGACGCTCTTATCCAGAGCGACTTACAAATTGGTGCATTCACCCTATAGCCAGTGGGATAACCACTTTACACTTTTTTTATTTTATTTATTTTTTTTTTGGGGGGGGGGGGGGGGGGGGGTAGAAGGATTACTTTATCCTATCCCAGGTATTCCTTAAAGAGGTGGGGTTTCAAATGTCTCCGGAAGGTGGTGAGTGACTCCGCTGTCCTGGCGTCGTGAGGGAGCTTGTTCCACCATTGGGGTGCCAGAGCAGCGAACAGTTTTGACTGGGCTGAGCGGGAACTATGCTTCCGCAGAGGAAGGGGAGCCAGCAGGCCAGAGGTGGATGAACGCAATGCCCTCGTTTGGGTGTAGGGACTGATCAGAGCCCGAAGGTACGGAGGTGCCGTTCCCCTCACTGCTCCATAGGCAAGCACCATGGTCTTGTAACGGATGCGAGCTTCAACTGGAAGCCAGTGGAGTGTGCGGAGGAGGGGGGGTGACGTGAGAGAACTTGGGAAGGTTGAACACCAGACGGGCTGCGGCATTCTGGATGAGTTGTAGGGGTTTAATGGCACAGGCAGGGAGGCCAGCCAACAGCGAGTTGCAGTAATCCAGACGGGAGATGACAAGTGCCTGGATTAGGACCTGTGCCGCTTCCTGTGTAAGGCAGGGTCGTACTCTCCGAATGTTGTAGAGCATGAACCTGCAGGATCGGGTCACCGCCTTGATGTTAGCGGAGAACGACAGGGTGTTGTCCAGGGTCACGCCAAGGCTCTTCGCACTCTGGGAGGAGGACACAACGGAGTTGTCAACCGTGATGGCGAGATCATGTAACGGGCAGTCCTTCCCCGGGAGGAAGAGCAGCTCCGTCTTGCCAGGGTTCAGCTTGAGGTGGTGATCCGTCATCCATACTGATATGTCTGCCAGACATGCAGAGATGCGATTCGCCACCTGGTTATCAGAAGGGGGAAAGGAGAAGATTAGTTGTGTATCTTCAGCGTAGCAATGATAGGAGAGGCCATGTGAGGATATGACAGAGCCAAGTGACTTGGTGTATAGGGAGAATAGGAGAGGGCCTAGAACTGAGCCCTGGGGGACACCAGTGGTGAGAGCACGTGGTGCGGAGACAGCTTCTCGCCACGCCACTTGGTAGGAGCGACCGGTCAGGTAGGACGCAATCCAGGAGTGAGCCGCGCCGGAGATGCCCAGCTCGGAGAGGGTGGAGAGGAGGATCTGATGGTTCACAGTATCAAAGGCAGCAGACAGGTCTAGATGGACAAGAGCAGAGGAGAGAGAGTTAGCTTTAGCAGTGCGGAGAGCCTCCGTGACACAGAGAAGAGCAGTCTCAGTTGAATGACCAGTCCTGAAACCTGACTGGTTTGGATCAAGAAGGTCATTCTGAGAGAGATAGCAAGAGAGTTGGCTAAAGACGGCACGCTCAATAGTTTTGGAAAGAAAAGAAAGAAGGGATACTGGTCTGTAGTTGTTGACATCAGTGGGATCGAGTGTTGGTTTTTTGAGAAGGGGTGCAACTCTCGCTCTCTTGAAGACGGAAGGGACATGGCCAGCGGTCAAGGATGAGTTGATCAGCGAGGTGAGGTAGGGGAGAAGGTCACCGGAGATGGTCTGGAGAAGAGAGGAGGGGATGGGGTCAAGCGGGCAGGTTGTTGGGCGGCCTGCAGTCACAAGTCGCAGGATTTTATCTGGAGAGAGAGGGGAGAAAGAAGTCAAAGCATAGGGTAGGGCAGTGTGAGTAGGACCAGCAGTGTCATTAGACTTAACAAACGAGGATCGGATGTCGTCAACCTTCTTTTCAAAGTGGTTGACGAAGTCATCCACAGAGAGAGCGGAGGGGGGGGATTCAGCAGGGAGGAAAATGTGGCAAAGAGCTTCCTAGGGTTAGAGGCAGATGCTTGGAATTTAGAGTGGTAGAAAGTGGCCTTAGCAGCAGAAACAGATGAAGAAAATGTAGAGAGGTACACCTCCAATTGACTCAAATGATGTCAATTAGCCTATCAGAAGCTTCTAAAGCCATGACATCATTTTCTGGAATTTTCCAAGCTGTTTAAAGGCACAGTCAACTTAGTGGAATTGTGATACAGTGAATTATAAGTGAAATAATATGTCTGTAAACAACTGTTGAAAAAATTACTTGTGTCATGCACAAAGTAGATGTCCTAACCGACTTGCCAAAACTATAGTTTGTTAACAAGATATTTGTGGAGTGTGTTGAAAAACGAGTTTTAATAACTCCAACCTAAGTGTATGTAAACTTCTGACTTCAACTGTATATAACACCACAGGAATATGAAAACAGGAAGAGCGAAAATTAAATTCTGTATGTGTGCAGGTCAGGTGAGAATTCATAATCCATAAAAATCCAGTTTTTACTACCTGTCAATCACCTCTGGTTTGACCATTTGAATCTGATTTAGGATCAGTTGTAGGACACATACAGCATGTGTTGGTTTAGTGGATCACTAAGCTTTACAAAGGAAGTGGAAAATGTAATGTCTGTCAGAGTTGACATTTAAGCTCTTGCCAGGAAAAAAGAGGGGGAGGGAGGGAGAGAGGGAGGAGCTCTGGCTAAATGGAGACTGGTCTGTTTTGGAAATGCAGACGCTCTTCTATCAAGGCCGTCGGGTCTCGCTGCACGCTGTGAGTCGTAACCCCTGCGAGCTCGCTCCGGCTATGTTTAGACCCAGTGCTGCCAAATGACCTCCAGGTTCATCCAGCACCCCCACACCCCCACACATACTTAAACGTCCTCCTCCTCCGACACACACACTCTGCAACGTGCGCACGCACACACTTAGGCTCATAATCCCGCAGTCGCGGGCACTCTCTTTCTCTGTCTTCGTATACACACACACACACACCCTGTGCCATCTGCCGTGTCCTCTCTGGCCTTTGCAGATGGAACTAAGAAGCTGGACTAAGGGATAGGACACTGCCTGTAGTCATCACAGTCACTCTCAAGACGTGTCCCAAGGTGCCCTCCTGAAGACATGTCAAGACATATCAATCATTCAGTCAGAACATGGCACATCCAGAGAGTGTTGCTCTACTTGCCTCCTCTCTTTCATCTGCACTGATGTGAAAGAACTGGACAGGTGAAAGACGATTCCCAGTAGGTATCTGACCACATTGCTTTCACCAATCCTGTCTCTGCAGATGAATGAGAGGAGATTAGGAGAAAAGTTTTCCTAGACTTTGGAGATGCACCCTTGGTCTTGAGTAGCAGCTGAATCTGCCGGCCAATCTCTGCATAGTTGCATTAGGGCTGTGTTTTGTTTGGCCCAACTGACGCAAGGACGATGTACCCACTCCTTCTTCAGTCCAGAACAGACCAGCTCAGGTCAGATATCAGAAATGTAAACACAGTCCAGGACTGAACTGGCCAAGCGTTAATGCTCTCCATCCATCCTGCTTATCCAGTCTCTGTCAAAGAGGAGCACTCAGATTGCTGTGAGAAGGGGAAGTGAAGGAGACAGGTCCTTCTTATGAGGCTGAAAGGGGAGGTCTTCTTCACGTATGTCCTCACAGAAGTTGTGGACATGCTGATAGTCTACATGTTTCAAAATCTCTATCTAGCATTAAAGGAAATTGAAAAGTTGTCTGGCCTCAAAACCTGCTATCGTTTATTTAGGTAATAGACATAATGCAATGCAGGATAATCACCATTTCCAAATGAACGGATACATAAGTGTCAGAGTTAAGCTAGCTAAAGAGCTCATTTTTGTCCTCAATCCATAGGTAGGCTAATTACAGATTTAGAGTAACGTGTGCGATTGACTGGTCATGGTAGTGGTTCAAAGCTAAATGTACCCTTGGTTTCTGCCCTTCATTGCTATCTGTGTTTTTAGGGCACACTGCAATGATACCAAGAATGCACTAGTGGTTTTTCTGGGCAACCTCAGTATTTGTAGTTTAGTAGAGGAGCCAGAAACTAAGACTTGATCCGATGGCAAAACACATGGATTATTCACACGGACTTGGAGGATAGAGAATGAAGAGAGAGGGATGAAATGAGGACCAAACGAGTAAAAGGGCTGTTTATGTAGAATGGAGTTTATTGGTCCTTATCATGTGTGTGCATGTTGCGTCCTCCTCTGTGTTCATACAGTATCTCTAACCACCAACCCCACTGGTGCCTCCCTTAAGTACACACTGCTATCCCCAATCAATAACTAAAAGCATTGAAGTAATGGGAGGACACTTGACGACCACTCAATTTGTGTCTCTGTACATTTAATATCAGTCTATAGGACAGTGTTGTCAATGGAGGGGTGTTTTTCTGGTCAGATTTAGATGGACTGACGGACTGACAGGCAGGCTGGTAGACAGAGACAGAACAGTCTCAACAGCCAATTATTGCAGGATATCCAAGGATATGCAGTAAGAACAACCACCAGTATTTCAGTTCTCAAACCAAAGCACCAATTTTCTCACAAAACTCTTTTCAGACAGGCAGGCAGAAAGGTAGACAGATATACAGGCAGGCAGGTAGGCAGGCAAACATATTAGATGTCATATCAGATGCCATATGGATAAACCAAATATACCAACCAAGAAAGGAAAAACAAACAATTTATCCTGGTTGGTATGTTGCTGTTTTTCTGTGATGCCATCTGGTATGGTATCTAATAACCCGTCTGTCTGTCCGTCACATTTTTTCTCTGCTCTAAGAAAGTCCTTATTCCTTATATAGTGCACTACATAGGGCAGGGTTCTTCAATTCCGGTCCTGGAGGGCCGAAACACTTCTGTTTTTTATTTCTACCTGGTAGTTAATTGCACTCACCTGGTGTCCCAGGTCTGAATTAGCCCCTGATTAGAAGGAGAGGATGAAAAACAGAGGTGTTTCGGCCCTCCAGGACCGGAATTGAAGAACCCTGACATAGGGAATAGGGTGCCATTTGGGATGCAGACAAATGCTCTGAGCGCAATCTCTCCCAGACTGTAGTTTCTCACTTATAGCATACAGAGACAGATAGCCACACTCGTTACAGTCACGCACACAGGCTGCTGAGGGGAGGACGGCTCATAATAATGTCTGGAACGAAGCAAATGGAATGGCATCAAACACATGGAAACCATGTGTTTGATGTATTTGATACCCTTCCACTTTTTCCACTCCAGCCATTACCACAAGCCCATCCTCCCCAATTAAAATGCCACCAACCTCCTGTGGCACACATATTCAAACTGTGAAACAATCAAACTGAAACACAAGCTCTTATCCGAGTCTCTCTACATGCAGGCTTATCCAAAAGTCCCTCTCTTGCAGCGCTGCTTCTGACTGCACACTGACTTTCTCCCCAAGCCATTCTATTGTAAACAGACTCCTCATTAATGTATAAAGCCCTTGTTTTCTGTGCCTGCCTTGAAAGGCAATAAACAGTGCTAGAGGCCCGGTGCCCCTGCTGCAAGAGGCTTTGATAAGGAACAGCACTTTACACTCCATGCCCAGGAAATGCCAGGCTATGTTAGACAAGCACTTAGCAGAATCAACCGTTGCACTTTTATGCTTGTCCTTAGGTGTATTTGGAGGCTAAGTATTTTCTATTATGCATTGTTGGTACTCGCACTTAAGGAATCGTTCTTTAGCGATAATGGGGCCTTGTATTGTTTTATGGATGCTCATCATAAGGATCTTTAATGTTTAAATGGTTTGCGTACCATGCCTTTGATAAAGGCATTAAGGAGTTCAGGTAGACAGGTCCTTTGAAGTGCAGTGAAACTGGCTGTCCGTCTTTATTTAATAATATGGAACAGACCATTCATTTTAAACAAGATTATGTTTCTCTCAGATCCACAATGGCCGCCTTGTGTCATAAGACACACAATGTCCATTTTGTGTCAATGTTGCCCCACAATGACCACTGTGTCTGTAAAGCTTGACTCGTTTCCTTTTTCCACAAGCTTTCCGCTGCCGTTAAAGACACACCAGGCCCTCCTAGCCGGTTCAAACAGAGCAGTCATTGTCCAGTCGCAGGATGTAAAGGGGAGAAAAGAGGTCCAAAGCAGACTTTGAAGAGCCCCATGTCGGCCTCCTAATTGTCCCTAGAATTTCTAAGCAAACAGCGGGAGGCAGGGCTTTCTCCTATAGATCTCCATTTTTATGGAACAGTCTGCCTACCCATGTGAGAGACGCAGACTCGGTCTCAACCTTTAAGTCTTTACTGAAGACTTATCTCTTCAGTAGGTCATATGATTGAGTGTAGTCTGGCCCAGGAGTGTGAAGGTGAACGGAAAGGCTGGAGCAACGAACAGCCCTTGCTGTCTCTGCCAGGCCGGTTCCCCTCTCCACTGGGGTTCTCTGCCTCTAACCCTGTTGCAGGGGCTGAGTCACTGGCTTGCTGGTGCTCTTTCATGCCGTCCCTGGGAGGGGTGCGTCACTTGAGTGGGTTGAGTTACTGACGTGATCTTCCTGTCTGGGTTGGCGCCCCCCCCTTGGTTTGTGCTGTGGTGGAGACCTCTGTGGGCTATACTCGGCCTTGTCTCAGGATTGTAAGTTGGTGGTTGGGGATATCCCTCTAGTGGTGCGGGGGCTGTGCTTTGGCGGAGTGGGTGGGGTTATATCCTTCCTGTTTGGCCCTGTCCGGGGGTTTCTTCGGATGGGGCCACAGTGTCTCCGGACCGCTCCTGTCTCAGCCTCCAGTATTTATGCTGCAGTAGTTTATGTGTCGGGGGGCTGGGGTTAGTTGGTTATACCTGGAGTACTTCTCCTGTCTTATCCAGTGTCCTGTGTGAATTTAAGTATGCTCTCTCTAATTCTCTCGTTCTCTCTTTCTCTCTGAGAACCTGAGCCCTAGGACCATACGTCAGGACTACCGGGCATGATGACACCTTGCTGTCCCCAGTCCGCCTGGCCTTGCTGCTATTCCAGTTTCAACTGTTCTGCCTGCGGCTACGAAACCCCTACCTGTCCCAGACCTGCTGTTTTCAACTCTTAATGATCGGCTATGAAAAGCCAACTGAGAGACCTGAGCCCTAGGACCATACGTCGGGACTACCGGCCGTGGTGACTCCTTGCTGTCCCCAGTCCGCCTGGCCTTGCTGCCCGGCCATTTGGGGGCTTGTTGTGGAAGGTGGCGTTCGTGCTCTTCAACCGTGTTCTTGTTTCTCTGTCTCTCTCCGCACAGACATGTCTTCCATAAGCTGTGTGTGGACCCCTGGCTGAACGAGCACTGTACCTGCCCCATGTGTAAACTGAACATCCTCAAAGCTCTGGGCATCATGGTGAGTATTAGTGTAGTCAATGTCTCAATGCCTTATCAGTGGACATTTGTTAGAAGTCAGTATGTCAATATTATCCGGCAACGCCAGTAACGGTTTGGCCTCAGACCTTTTTTTTCTGATCTGATCACACACTACTCTTGACCCAAATAATGAGAGGAAAAAGATAGCCTTATAAGATATTATGTAAACATGTCTCAATTTCATATGTTTATGTTGATTAACAGTAGAATACAACAGAACATTTCACAGTCTATTAAACTGCATGTGTTGTTTTGTAGATTAAGACGTTATTTACCCAGATTGCCCTTCACATGCTGCTCCCAGTCATTGTGACAGATCTTTATCCAGGCGATTGCGTAACCCTCTGTTTATGCCAACTGTTTATGACCTCATCCATAGCCCTAGTATGCCCCCTGCTGGCAAGGTATGGAACTATTGCTCAGACACCAGAAATTAGAGTCATACCAGAACAGACTAAAGTGGTATCATTAGATGAGCTGCTACAAGAGCTACTTGCTCAGAAGTTAGGGTTAAGGTCAGGGTCGTGGTCAAAATCGGGGTCAGCGATCAAAATATCGAGTTCTTTCTAGCGTGAGCTAACATTGGCCAAAGTTAATATGACACAAATTGGACTTTAACCACTAGCCATAACATTCCCCTAACCCCTGTGTTTTTTTTACTTTACCCTTTAGCCCAACCTGCCGTGCGTGGACAACGCCGGCTTTGACATGGACCACAGGATAGGGCGCAGCCAGACGATGGCCAGCCAGCGGACGGCCCTGGTGGACCTGTCCAGTGAGACGTCCATCAGCCTGGAGCCCCTGCAACGAGGCCACCCCGGTACCGGACCCCAGATCCCCTCCGAGAGCGGAGAGCTCACCCCCCGCTCCGGAGAGATCAACATCGCCGTCACCAGTAAGCAGCTTCCACCTCAGACACTTTCTTTGCTTCAACTCAAGTTTGGATTTGATTTGAAGTTACATTATTGATATGAAAGGTTATAAAATTGTAACAAAATAGAACAGAAATTCTCTCTGGTTTTCATTTATTCCTCTCTGTTTTTCAACCTTTCGAGTTCAGGCACACTCTTTGACCCACACACCCATTAAAAGTGTCTCACAATTTTATTTGATCCTGGCAAATCAGCATGCAAGCTCCGTTTTTTCATAGCTCAAAACACTAAGTGAAGGAATTAACCTTGACAAAATAAAACTAAAATGTCTCTGGTTATGCTATTTAAATAATTAGTGAAGGCAAAACTGACTTTTTTAAACTGAATAACTAGAGTAGCAAAATGTTTACTGGAGCTGCAAACCTTTGACATATTGACTTGACACACACACACAAAATACAGTGCTATGAAAAAGTATTTGCCCCCTTTCTAATTTTCTCTACTTTTGCATATTTGTGATACTGAATGTTATCAGATCTTCAACCAAAACCTAATATTAGATAAAGGGAACATAAGTGAACAAATAACACAACAATTACATATTAATTTCATTTATTTCATAAACAAAGTTATGCAACACCCAATTCCCCTGTGTGAAAGAGTAATTGCCCCCTTACACTCAATAACTGGTTGTGCCACCTTTAGCTGCAATGACTCCAACCAAATGCTTCCTGTAGTTGTTGATCAGTCTCTCACGTCGCTGTGGAGGAATTTTGGCCCACTCTTCCATGCAGAACTGCTTTAACTCAGTGACGTGTGGGTTTTCAAGCATGAACTGCTCGTTTCTGATAGAGAGCAGAATTCATGGTTCCTTCTATTAAGGCAAGTCATCCAGGTCCTGAGGCAGCAAAGCATCCACAAACCATCACACCACCACCACCATGCTTGACCTTTGGTATGATGTTCTTACTGTGGAATGCAGAGTTTTCGTTTTCGTTTTAAACTTTGTTTATGAAATAAATGAAATAAATAATGTAATTGTTGTGTTATTTGTTCACTTATGTTCCCTTTATCTAATATTAGGTTTTGGTTGAAGATCTGATAACATTCATTATCACAAATATGCAAAAGTAGAGAAAATTAGAAAGGGGGCAAATACTTTTTCATAGCACTGTATATATCCGAAATCCCTCCCTGCCCCTCCATACCTCACTTCATCCCCTCTTTTGACACACACACACACACACACACACACACACACACACACACACACACACACACACACACACACACACACACACACACACACACACACACACACACTTACACACACACACACACACACACACACACACCAGAGACTTGTCTCTTGTAGGTCACTCACCCCCCTCTGACTCTCGCAGCCACTGTCTGTTTAATCCATAATCCCTATCCCATCCTAATCCTAACCCCAACCATGAGAAGGCAAAAAGCACAACTGGCGAAAAGCCATTCTTGAAAAATAAGAACATGCACTGCAGTTATTACGACAACTACTTCTATACTGTTCTTTCACTTATAGCTAGTAATTGTAATTCAGTAATGCATACAACACTTTGAATGAATAGCTAATCAGTGTGAATAGTTCAACATCTGAATAATAGAGTGAGTAAGAGTTGTTATATAACTCTTAGTACCTAAATCTGTTTCAGGATAGGCCTACTTCCATAAATGAATCAAAGTCATTCTTATCTAAATCCACCCAATTTATGCTGTTTGATAATGTGACTCAATTTCCTCTAATTTCTGGTAAACCTTAAAAGGCTCATGTAGTATATGCCTGCTCTCTTTCAATTTGTACAGTTCCACTGACTTTACATCAGTACTATACACTGAGTATACAAAACATTATGATCCCTTATTGATGTCACTTGTTAAATCCACTTCAATCAGTGTAGATGAAGGGGAGGAGACAGGTTAAACAAGGATTTTTAAGCCTGGAGACAATTGAGACAGATTGTGTATGTGTGCCATTCAGAGGGTGAATAAGAAAGACAAAGGATTTAAGTGCCTTTGAACGGGGTATGGTGGTAAGAGCCAGGCGCACTGGTTTGTGTCAAGAACTGCAACGCTGCTGGGTTTTTCACGCTCAACAGTTTCCCGTGTGTATCAAGAATGGTCCACAACCCAAAGGACATCCAGCCAACTTGATACAACTGTGGGGAAGCATTGGCGTCAGCATGGGCCAGCATCTCTGTGGAACGCTTTCAACACCTTCTAGAGTCCATGCCCTGACAAATTGAGGCTGTTCTGTTCTGAGGGCAAAGGGGGGGGGGGGTGCAACTCTATATTAGGAAGGTGTTCCTAATGTTTGGTATACTCAGTGTACATGCATTGTAGAGATACATGTAGGCCTACATACACATCTGTTTCTCTTTCTGTCGCAGTTGGTGTGTGCTGTGTGGGTGCCTCTGGATACATGTGTGTCTGTCTGTCTGTGTATGTGCACATGTGTATAACACTCTGTCTTTAAACTACGCCCGTGCTTCCAGGTCTCTATCTCCTGTCTTCAAGCTCATCCTGCCTCTCTCCTCTGTCGCTCTCCTCCTCTGGATCTTAAGGACGCACCTTTCTTCATCTTCTCGTCTCTTCATCCTCCTGACTTTTCCGCCTCACATTGGTTTTCAAAGAGAGGAAAGATCTTTTGTGTTTTCCTGTGGGGACTCGTCGGTTTTTAACCCATTGCATGGTGGGCTGCAGTGACCCCCCCCCCCTTTCCTTCTATTGACAGAGGAGTGGTTTATAATCGCCAGCTTCGGCCTTCTCAGCGCTCTCACATTGTTCTATATGATCATCAAGGCCACTGCCAGCTTCTCCAGCCCTGAGTGAGTACCACCATCCACTTCCATAGTTAAACCATTCTACTACTGGATTCAATTGTACTTTCAATCAAGATTTGGTTTCATATAGTCTTGAACTGGGGATAGTCCTGATGGCTTTGTCACAGAATATTGTTGTCTATTTCATTTCTATTTAACTAAACCAGCATCCAGGACTATACTCCTGGATTTGTGGATATCTGAAATTGTCTCAACTCTGACTACTTTGAACCATTGCCATACAATGGAGTTTGAATACAGTCCAGACAGATGCAAAACAGTCTGAGATTATTATTCAGATGTGGCAAACTTCCATTTTCATTAATTTACTCAACTTTGATCGCAGCTAACATGAATCGAAAAATACTTTAACAGCACAATTGTAACATAGTGTATATTTGTACTCTCGTCAAGTACAGTTGACATGGGTACTGGCATGTATCTAATACATTTGCAGTTAGAGAGTAAAAAAAGTAATGAAATATTGGATTGTACATGTCTGCACATCAATTAACGGAGACAGTGTGAGTACTGTTTCACAATATTGCCCAATAAAGTAGCACTAGATCAGAACAACCATTTACGGAAGCCACAGCCTCCATCCATCCCCTCTACTAAAAAAACTGCAAATGTGTTAGAGCCTTACACAAGAGAAAAATATTTTTTATGTTCAGATCAATTACATTTCCCTTCTCTGATCCTACTTGCATGCCATTTCTTTGTTCTGCTACTTTATTTTCTAAATGTCATTTATCTTCCAGCCTGGAGTGGGAGGAGTGAAGACGCCCCTCTAGACCCTTTCTCTGCCGGAGCCTCATGGCAATGTTGCCTTCTTGTGCCATATTCTTCTGTATTGTATTTCTAAGCTTGTACTACTGTACCTTCCTGTATCGTTAGTTGTCATTTTTGTTGTTGTAATAGGGCAAAGCGCTATGAGACATTAAACCACTGTGGATCCCTCCTTTTGACTTGTTATGTGACTGTGAGAGTGTTGTATTTGTTTTCCTACATTATCAGGACCACAATGTCCTGAACTTGTTCAAATGCTATTTTAAGCTGAAGGGTTAGGTTTTGGGTTTTGGGGTTAGGTTTTGGGTTAAGTTTAAGGGGTTAGGGAAAATAGGATTTTTAATGGTCAAACTTTTTTACACTCCAAAAAGTCCTGAAATTTCACAAAAACAAAGCTGTGTGTGTGTTTGTGTGAGTGTGCGTGTGTTACTATATTTATTGAAAGACACCCATTATTCTTGTGCACCTAAACCAGACAGACACACACACACCTCCCTACAGAAAGTTGAAGTTTAATGTTCTTCTGTGCTCATATGTGACCATGACTGAGTGTACAAAACATTTGGAAGACCTTAATATTGAGTTGCACCCCCTTTTACCCTCAGAACAGCCTCAATTCGTTAGGGCATGGACTCTACAAGGTGTCGAAAGCATTCCACAGGTATGCTGGCCCATGTTGACGCCAATGCTTCCCACAGTTGTGTCAAATTGGCTGGATGTCCTTTGGGTTGTGGACCATTCATGATACACATGGGAAACTGTTGAGCGTGAAAAACCCAGCAGTGTTGCAGTTCTTGACACACTCAAGCTGGTGTGCCTGGCACCTACTACCATACCCCCCATTCAAAGCACTTACATATTTTGTCTTGTCCATTCACCCTCTGAATGGCACACATACAGAATCCATGTCTCAATTGTCTCAAGGCTTAAAAATCCTTCTTTAACCTGTCTCCTCCCCTTTATCTACACTGATTTGAAGTGGATTTAACAAGTGACATCAATAAGGGATGATAGCTTTCACTGGTCAGTCTATGTCATGGAAATAACTTGTGTTCCTAATGTTTTGTACGTTGTGTATATTTGGCAGTAATGCAATACTATCCCCAGAAGATGGCACTATTTCTTAGCTATTACATTACATGTCTAACCTCACACATCAGAATCGTCAGGCCACAAACCTTCACATAACACTGCTTAGATCTTATTGAGGTATGAATGATATTGATGATTACTATGATTCAAAAGGTGGTCCAGGTGATCTTCCATGTATCGCTCTCTTGACTTGAGGTTGTATAGCAGTTTGAGGATCATTGAGGATTCACAATGTCACGGTTTGACCTCAGCATGTCACACACTCACACTTTTACTCAACTGCAAATGTCCATGATGGTGTCCAATCCCAGTGACTCCTGTAATGAGGTTTACAGATGCTAAAGATGAAATGATCAAGTATGAATAACTATACATTTTTATTTGTTGTTTGTTTATGGTGCTAGGCATCAGCTTTTCTAGATACACTACATGGCCAAAAGCATGTGGACACCTGTTCGTCGAACATCTCATTGCAAAATAATGGGCATTAATATGGAGTTGGTCCCCCCTTTGTTGCTATAACAGCCTCCACTCTTCTGGGAAGGCTTTCCACTAGATGTTGGAACATTGCTGCGGGGACTTGCTTCCATTCAGCCACAAGAGTATTAGTGAGGTCAGGCACTGATGTTGGGCGATTAGGCCTGGCTCGCAGTCTGCGTTCTAATTCATCCCAAAGGTGTTCAACGGGGTTGAGGTAAGGGCTCTGTGCAGGTCAGTCAAGTTCTTCCACACTGATCTCGACAAACCATTTCTGTATGGACCTCTCTTTGTGCACAGGGGGCATTGTCATGCTGAAAAAGGAAAGGGCCTTCTCCAAACTGTTGCCACAAAGTTGGAAGCACAGATTCGTCTACAATGTCATTGTATGCTGTAGCGTTAATATTTCCCTTCACTGGAACTAAGGTGCCTAGCCCGAACCATGAAAAACAGCCCCATACCATTATTCCTCCTCCAAACTTTACAGTTGGCATTATGCATTCGGGCAAGTAGCGTTCTCCTGGCATCCGCCAAACCCAGATTAGTCCGTCGCACTGCCAGATGTGGAAGCGTGATTCATCACTCCAGAGAATGCGTTTCCACTGCTCCAGATTCCAATTGCGGCGAGCTTTACACCACTCCAGCCGACGCTTGGCAATGCGCATGGTGATTTTAGGCTTGTGTGCGGCTGCTCGGTCATGGAAACCCATTTCATGAAGCTCCCGGCTAACAGTTATTGTGCTGACGTTGCTTCCATAGGCAGTTTGGAACTGTAGTGAGTGTTGCAACCGAGGACAGACGATTTTTGAGTGCTACGCATTTCAGCACTCAGCGGTCCCGTTCTGTGAACTTGTGTGGCCTACCACTTCGCGGCTGAGCCATTGTTGCTCCTAGACGTTTCCACTTCACAATAACAGCACTTACAGTTGACCGGGGCAGCTCTAGCAGGGAAGAAATCTGACGAACTGACTTGCTGGAAAGGTGGCATCCTATGACAGTGTCATGTTGAAAGTCACTGAGCTCTTCAGTATAGGCCATTCTACTGCCTATGTTTGTCTATGGAGATTGCATGAATGTGTGCTGGATTATATACACCTGTCAGCAATGGGTGTGGCTGAATCCACTAATTTGAAGGGTTGTCCACGTACTTTTGGCCATGTAGTGTAAGTATCTTACTGGCAGATGATATGTAATATTTCTTGGTGTCACTGACATTGACATTTTCCCATGTTCCTTTGCAGGTGGCCACTTCTTCAACCGGAACTCCCTGTCCCCGCGCAGTGTGGTCTGTGAGATGGAGCTTCCCGACATCCAGGCATCGCTCGACCTCTACGATGACAACAAGTCGTGAGGGTCGTCGCCGTGGTTTCGACCCCCAGTCTAAGGGACGGATGGCCTTGTACCTTCCTGCACACCGGCGAGCCTTTGTGTGTGTGTGTGGGAGGGGTTATGGAGGGCCACGGGCGGCTCAACAACTTAGACGACAACCTTGACTAACCTGTGGAACATCGACAATGACATGATAACATCAAAGACTTTCTTCCAATGCAGAATGTACTATTATTACCTGTCAAAAAGAAGAGGGGAAATACTCGTCCTCTCTCCTCCTTTCTTTTACACTTTCATTTAGAAAAATGTTTTTCTCCTGAGAGACTCTTTGAAATCTGTTTCTAGATGCGGTAGTGGGGAATTAACCCTTTCTAGTCTTACTTTGCAGTATCTCGGTGTATCGTCCATTTGAAACGAGCTAGAAAAAAGAAACAACGGGTTTCAGTGTAGCCTACTTTCAGCATCCTACAATACATCTGTAAGCTATATATGATTAGCAAACCGTCATTTTATTTAGCTTTCTTTGGATCTTTCTTTGTGAAGGCAGCAATAGAAAAGCAGACTGTTTCTTCCCTGGTGGACCAGTTGGCTCTGTTGTATTTACTATGCTACCTAAAGGACAGTGGAGAGGACATTTTGACTTGTGGGCCATGTCCAGACATGCCCTCTCTCTTCCTATATATGGCCAGTGACTGGTGCAAGAATAAGACCAGTGGAACAATTGACATGCAGCTATGTGACGTTCTAAACTCTGTGACAAGCAGTGTTACTTCCCTGTAGCAAAAGCAATGTGTCTCTGTATAAAAAAAAAAATGAAATTTGAACGTGTATTTAAAAAAGCCTATGAAATACCCACAGCGTGTACTAATCAGCCCCCCAGTGAGGGGGACCTAGTGTGTATATGTATGTATATATATATATATATATATATTTACATATATTTACATATATACAATCTATATACATTATATATCTCTAAAGTGGCCTCTTAAAGCAGTTTGTTTTCCTTTCTCAATCTTGTACATGCTCAGGTGGAAGGCTTTGTCCTCTGTTCTTGTTGTCCCTTTGTGTTCTAGTCTTTGCATCTGATATTTGAGATGATGATGGTGATCGATGTGACGCGGGGAGGTGAGTGTGTGTCACAGTTTCTGGTCACTGTGTTACATACAATATTGCCTCACCATTAAAAGTGTAATTATTGCCTACGACCTGTTGATTGTGTTGCCCCGTTCTGTGTCCCCGTTCCAATGTGTGCACTTCTAACTGAAATGCAGCCAAATGTCATGAACCTTTCAGCTGGAGTTTGGAGAAGATTCTAAAATGTTTTTTGGGTGGTGAAAGCCTTGCACGGCAAAACATTTCAGAGGGTTGTTGGTTAAACGTTACCCATTTGAAGAGGATCTTGGCTCTTTGACTTGGGCCTGGGGATCTACAGGGTGTGCAGGTCTTTATTCCAGTCCAGCAATACATCTTCTTATAACTCAGAGCCCATCGCTCCGCTTGGAACAAAGACCATGGAAGACTCCTGTTTTGGTAGAAGTCCCCTAATTCCACTGTGCAATAACATTAATTACTGCATAATTACTACACTGTTTGTATGAGGAAACTCTTCATTCACTAAATAGCCTAATGCAAAACATGCTTGTCAAAAGAGTCACCACACCTGAATTGTCTTATAGGGCTCAATAACCACATTTCCATCCACAGTTTTTGTGCAAGTAAAGTCATACTGTATTTAAAAAATAGTGACAGCTGTGATGGAAACAGGAAGTTTCAGTAACATTTTATAAATGCCGACAGATCATTTGTTCGTTCGACAAGGTGGGAACTTTTTGTGTGGATAAAATGTATTATGCGAGAAATGGCAGTGCAAAGCCTTTATGCGCAAATATTGATATAATAACCATCATATCGAAGTAAACTTGGAGTCTCGATGATATGGTGTGTGGTCCTCCCACTACCACTCGGGAAAAAAATCAGTTTATTTGGCTACAGAGGAAATAACTTATGAACTTCACAGGGCGGTGAAGTGCACGTGATCTTGATGCTCCTTTCCAATAAATATCGAGGGTTGGTCTTGATGCTCATTTTCAATAATTATCGATGGTCTGATTCTGGTGACATGATGATGATCGATGCTTGACAAAGAAAAGTATTCTCGCTCTTATCCATAATAATCTCATTATGTAGACTAGTCTACCCGCACTGTAGCCTGTTGGCTAGAGCCCACGTGCCACATGAAAATGTTAACATAAAAAGTAAGTGGTGGTGAAAGATAGGACAACAAAGGCCAGTTGCGTGGACAATGCTGATTTTGACCTCGACAGGGGTTACGTTTATGGGCATTTATTGGCCAGGTGATGTCTATTGACTTTTGGAGATGCTCTAGGTTTTGACTAGAAAGGCTCTGTTTTTTGTCAGATTAGAATTATCGTAGCAGGGTAGGAGAATTTATGCAGCAGGTTAGGATAATGAACATAGGTTCTAATGGTTCTAAAATTAATTTAGCCTTAATATGCTTTTGGGAAACCGGGTCCAAGTTAAGAGAATTAGGTTAAGGTTAGGAAAAGGGTTCGGGTTAGCTAAAATGTAAAAAATATATATATACCGTACTTTTGATGTCAATTTGACAAAAGCTGTTATCTTTCTAGCCAGTGGCAATTTTAGGCTGTAAATCTTGATGGGGCAAAAATAAAATAAAATGTTTAGATGCCAGCAAAGCCACTACGGAACACAACACTAAACAATACATTAATTGCACTATAACGGTGACAAACAGTGCCCACAAACTGTTAGGGCCTACATAAAGCTGTCTCGACAGCAGAGTCCCAACAGCAGTCCCAACACTTTACCACTGCTACACCTGGCTATCAGCGGAGCCTTGTCTGGCAGTGAAACAGTTCATTTAGACTAATTTACTGCATTAAAAAAAAAACATAGCTGATATGGCTGACTTGCTTAAACAAATGTGGTTTCTACTGACAATTGAGATGTACAAACTATGGCATAACGGGACAACGAGCGATAAGAGGCAATCCGTAATTTCGATTAAGACATTAATGAGCGAGCTAGGACGGACGTAGTCAATATAACTATTTGTTCAGCACTTTTGAAATGTACAGAATTCAGAACATGGGCCATTCTTACAGTATTCTCCCTGTACACCAAGTCAGAACCATATGATAAATAAAGGGTGCATATAAGCAGACAATGAAAGCTCTTACAATATTCAATGATTACATTACTCTAAAACAGGCAATAGGCTACATGTGCACCATGAACAGTGGAAAAGGAACCAAATTATTTGGGTGAGGCACATGGGCTACTAACAGCTTACTACACAACATACACTTAGTATTACTTTCTTAGCTACAGTATACATATCTCCCTGGCATATTACATCATTTATGCAGCAGCATACAAGACTCACTTTGTTGTGCTGTGCTCACTTGAACAAGAAGGTGGCGCGGCGGTCCTTCGTGGCCAAATTTTGTCATCAAACTTTGACATCAAGGTCTGGCATTCTCTGGATTTATGGTGCTTTCAAGACAACTGGGAGCTCAAAAAAACAAGGTTGAATCATGATGACATCAGTGATCTTCAGGTCGGAGCTCTAGAAAGAGGCCAGAGTTCCCAACTTCCAAATCCAAGTTGGATGACCGTTCAAAACGTATTTTCCCAGTCTGAGCTCGAGTTCCCAGTTGTCTTGACTCACTGAAGTCTGAGATTTCCCAGTTCAGAGTTTCCAGTTGTTTTGAGCGCGACAGAAGTCATGCTGGATTGACAGCATGGCCAATGTTGAATGTTTATCCTTTTAAGCTTGGAAAAGAGACCCTTAAACCTAGACTTGGACCACACTCCCACTCCACTGAATAGCAGGCTAGTGATTGCTTTGCAATGCTTGCAGTTAGCCAATGATTCCTTCCAAACCACTCGTTGTTGAATTTGAGATTTCCAACTTGTTGTGTAATGTTTACGTTTTATCTATAATTTTTCTTCATTATTTCTCTTCATATGACAAGGATTGAAAAGGATTTGCCAGTAGATTGTTGACTTAATTCATTATGATGACTGCTAGCTTGCTAGCTAAGATTTTGAAACTATGATGTTGACATGATCAGTCCAATCAAAGCTACTGTAGATATAACGTGATTTGACGTCATTTTATCTGTGGTCAATGACCTTGAGCCTTCTTGGATGGGCACTTCTAATGTAACTCTGTGGCATCACCCAAGGGGCTTGAATTTTCGAGCACTACTCATAGATTTTGCGGTGATGTAGTGTCCCCATGAGTGACCGAACACTGAGCCAATCACGACGCAACTAGAGAACATTACCAACCCCTACGCTCCGTATTTTCTGCTGGCTGCCCCACCACCACAAAGCACTGAGCTGGACTGAAACACATCCATTTTGGAGCTGCCTTACTCAAGACAGCAAAAAAGAGACCAAGTTTGTATGCGGCTTTATTAACTCAATTATTTGTTTATTTATTTTTTACATTGTTTTCAAACTGATATGTGACATGTATTAATGCCAAAATAACATGCAAAACAGGCACAATTTTTTTTTTTATATATACATGTATATATATTATATTTTCTTAGCTAAACAGGTGGGCTCAAAATAGGTGGGGCTCTTCCCCACCTGACCTGAGTGACGGGTCGCCACTGTTTCTAGCCATGATCCCCTATAGAACCCCACAGTGGGGGAGGTGTCATAATACACATAGCGATCAAACAGGGAAATAGTTCCAATCGTTTTTCCACCATTCATTTTTCCCATAGGGGATTTTAGAAACACTTAAAATAAGGACTGTGTTTCGTGTAGGCTTACCCTGGCGTGACGTTTTGATAACCATGTAAATCTCTCTCGGACAAGGTGACTTTTATCAATATATATATTCGGCTCTATATATTTTCTTGAGGGCTTGAACGCAGCCCAAGACGCGGTTAGTCATTGTGGATGGGACTGCGGATTGTCCCGGGCTTGTGGCTGTCTAGATCCCTGCTGTTTGTTGTT